GGGACGTGCTGAGGCGTAGCGAGGACGTGGCTTCGAGAAGCGTGAAGACGGGTACGTTCCACTGGTGGTCATCAAAGCCATGCTCGTTCATGCCGAGGTAGACAACCGAGTTGGCGATGAGGCCGAGGTTGTACGTACAGAAGGTGACAACGGTCGCCAGAGCCAGACAGAGGTTGGACAAGACAATGCCTTGGCCATAGCGCGGTGTCCGCAGTTGAACGTCATGCAGCGAAGCTCCACCGCGAGTTGGTGCTACCGGGAACCGGCCCATTTCCAGTATCTAGAAATATGGCGTGCACGGTGGCTAGTCGTTTCGTCCACTATAAATGGTGACTCCAGAACTTATGGTTGGCTCGTGGGCAACGACCGAAACTGCACCCAAGCACCACGTAGCGATGCAGGCAATCGCTCGTTGTCCGAGATCGAGCAAAGCGACGTGGCTTGTACTACATGTATTGCTATAGGGAAAATTCGTGTGCTCGCCATGAACCTCGGCGCCGATGACCATATCGGACTCATCACTCGGCGCTCTGATTGGTTCAAAGTATGTTTATAATCGGAACGCGTTTCGCGTTGCATCGGTCCAAGGGCGCTTGACATGTTGGCGTCCACGGTCGTTCGCCTTAATGGAGCTACTAGAGATCGGCGCGAGCACGAGGCAGAGACTGAGTAGAAAGAGCATGTCAACTGGATAATCCAGGGTGCAACTACTACGATCGTTGATGCTATCCCGACGCAGCCAGCGCCAGGACCGGAAACCTAACACGCACATGGTAGCTTCGGTGCTTGGTGGATGCAGATGGATCCTCTTCGAAGAAGGTCCATCACGGTTCGGTCCCAGAGCCTTCGCCTTTTTGAAATGAGTCATTCAAGCACCACCGTTGGACGACGTTGTCGTTGATTTAAAGCTGGGTGCGTCGGGCGAGGTGCAGTTCCCGTTGCCGTGGGATAGCACAAGTACCGACCTACTAGCCATAGCATCAAACTCTCGGCGCAGTGACGTTATGCCCAATTTGCTCGGAGCCATGGCAAACCCAAAACCGGCGACGCAGCCACCGAGGTGGCCACTACAAGTACAAACGATCAAGTCCGCGGAACGTCGAGTTTGCATCATCTTGACAACTCTGTTGGTGTGTCGGAGCCCGAACGTACGCTTGGTCCAATATGCCATATTCTAGCGACTGGTCTGGCTGGACTGGAGAACTGTGCAAAGCGCCGACG